GGGGGGGGGGGGGGGTTGTCGACTGCCAGTTGGCCTCACGCCGCGCGCGTATACGCATACGCACATATGACCCAGTAGATGGATTTCCTGACGCCGGTGGTGAAGATCGACTTGAGCTGGAACAGCACCGAGAGCTTGGCGGCGGCCGTCGGGACCGAGTAGATGCAGTACGCGACGTTGGTCCAGTAGAAGATGCTGGGGTTCTGGGCAGCGTAATGTCGTACATGTGCCTGGTGAGGCCCATCCGGGACAGGTGCAGGATCACAGCCACATAGGCGACGAAGGAGGCGGAGGCGAGGTAGCTCAGCCAGCCCTCGATCCGGTCGTCAGGGATGATGAAGAGCTTGACGAACAGCCGGGCGGACAGGCCTACGGTGGCCAGCACCAACACGAGCGCCGACGTGACATAGACGGCGGCCAGTTGGTCGGGCGGATCTACGAAGTTCGAGCTGGTCCACGGCGGTGGGGAGATGTCTGCGTCTGCAGGGCTAATGCCACCTACTTGTTGGCCGAGTGGTGTGGTGGGGAGAAGAAAAAGCCCTCACTCGTATGTCGTATGAGACATCAAGCATGACAGGAGCTGGTGGTCTTATCCTGAGTGTGTGAGGCGAGAACAGGCCCTGTTGACCGGCATCAATGAGAGAAGATCTCTCCTCTGATGAGGACTCCGGCCGGAGGTCTAGCTACATTTAAACGGCCCTCACACACTTCCCACGAGGCCACGAGGGAGGCGGGGAATCTACTTTGACACAACGGGAAAGGATTCTGGCCCGCCACCTGCTCGTTGCAACCGGGTAATATCCATACCCAGGGTATCTAGATGCCATATCTGGACACCCCGACGTGGATGCAGCTTGATCCAGAGACAGAGTTTGCGAACTCCACCGACTACCGACCGGATTCATGGATTCACTAATATCTCTCGGCGTTCCCAGAGCTCCAATCGGTCTAAGAGCCTGCCGATGCAACCCTCCGATGCACAGCTGACCGTTTCGGGCAGCGCATCAGAGCCGCATTAAGCCTAGGTCCCAGACTATGCACGCTGATCCTCTTCTGATGCAACTTCTCTTCTACATATAGCATCTTTGAACATCTCCATGCAGGCCCGTCCGCTTGTACTGCGGGTAATAAGCACTTATGCGCGCGCGATCTGCAAACGACTCGACATGTTCACGTCAGCTGAGTACCGAGGAGTATCCGATTCCGATGTCGAAAGTGGTTGTAAGAATGGACTCAACCATAGCATGGTTTGGATTCACGGTTTGCGCTACGTAGAGACAGACCATCTTTCGGGAGCTCAAGCCACTCCCGCCTTCTTCCAGATCTCTAGCCTCTTGTCTAATGTCTCATCTCTCGTCCCGGGCCGGCCTACGACCAGGGGTGCCCATCCTTGCCGAGCTTAGCGTTTAGGAATGCCCGACTGAGCAGGTTCTCTCCAACAATCTGGTCCTTGTGCGCCTCCATCTCCTCAATGTCCCCTTGAAGCACGTGTCAGCATCCATGTTGAAACAGTAATGGGAAAGGCACACTCACAGTTCACGCTAACTATTCCGCCGCGCAGGAACTCAGCCCGCGGGGTGGACAGGAAGAGCGTCCAGCTGGCACTGAGCTCGGGGGTATCCTTTGCGTACGGCATGAGCGACTCGAGCGTCATGTCGGTGTCGACGATGCCCGGGATGAGCGAGAAGACGCGAATCCCCACGTGCTCTGCGTGCAAGTTCTCCATGATGCGGGCGAGGGCCAGCTTGGAGGCCGTGTAGCCCGCCATACCAGGAAACACCATGCCAATGGCGCCCGTAGTGAAGCTAACGACGGTGCCAGCGCCCTCGGCCTGGGCGAGGAAGTGGTGCGTGACCAGGTAGGTGCCCAGCACGTTGACCTGGAAGTCAGTGAAGAAGCTGGCGGTGTCGACACCGCCGATGGGGCCCCCGTTGAGGCTACCCGCGCTGTTGATGAGCACGTCAACCTTGCCGACGGCCTCCTTGGCCGCTGCCCAGAGCTCAGTGACGGACGCCTCGTTCGTGATGTCAGCCGTGCGGGCGAGGATCTTGGTGCCGGGCGGGGCGAGGGAGCGGACCCGGGAAGCGACATGCTCGAGGACATCTCCCTTGCGTCCCGTGAGCACGAGGCCGGACGCTCCCGCGATGGCCCAGGATTCGGCGATGGCCTGGGTGGTGCATCGCAATCGTATGTTAATCACGCAAGGGAGAGATTGGGTTGACGGGGATCGTGGCATACCTTGCCTATGCCCCCAGACACGCCGGTTATTAGCACCGTCTTGCCCTTGGCCGACAGCTCAGGCTGGGTGGGCTCCAGCAGCGGGTAGACATCGCGCCGGATCGTCTTGGTCAGCTGGAAGGGCAGGGTGAAGGCGTTGGGGTCTGAGTTGTCCATGGTGTTGATGTTCCTTTGGTTCTCCTTTTCTCCTCTGTTCGTTGGCCTTTTTTCCTCTCTCCGTTCGGGGATCGAGATGTTTTTGAATCAATTGAGAAATACTTGAATCAATTGAGAACACAGTCATCAAATCTATCAGCGGCCGCTCGTCCGGGGTTGTCAGATGTAAGAGCCCGAGCTTCAGTTTCATTGATCCGAGTGTGTTTGGCCCACTCACACGTGAAGCAACGAGCATGACAAATTCACCACCTCTCGACTGTTGCCTCCCTCGTGCATTCTGCTCCTGTCAGTCCTGGAATCTGGTCCGTTCTAAATTAAAAGGTGACATCCGTCAGCGGCACGAATCCTACAGCCTCGCATTCACCGTCTCTAGTAGATGCAGCCCCCCACCGGCTCATGCACGAGGTGGTATTGCTCTTCAAGGTTCGCTCGCCCCCTGCATCCCGTGGCGAACACGCGCCTCGGCTCGCCATCTAGCCCCCAAGAACGGTCAGATCCAGAGCTGACCTCAATCGATAGTGCCGAAGATTAATTCCCGAAGTATAGCATCCCCGAAGGATGGGCCGCCATGTGCGGACAATGGATCCCATGTGCAAGCCATGCCACGTATCTCAGGCGATGACATCTCGAAGGATGCCATCCGCTCTGCCCCACGAGGGTAGCACGCGCAATATATCGGCCACCGTCGAACCCCTGGCTGATAGTCCCTGCTCGGTGGAGTTGCCTCAGCGTTGATCTCCAGGGATCCGGCCGTCCACGAGGCTTTTTACTTGAAACTTGCGAATGGAGAGTGCGGCATGTCTGGGAATCGTCTCAATGGCCCTCGTGGGTGCCAGCGGTGAGGTGAGGTGATTGAGGAGAATCCCGGGAAGAGCTGATAACGCAAATCCCGGTAGTAACAAGGTCACCATCGCGAGGGGGATAGGATGATATCCGGGGTGTCCACATGGCCGTTCCCACGTTTTTAACTCCATCGTAGACGTAGGATCTTAGGTCCAATTCCTTGATAATTGCCGTCTGCCTTGACCTTTTCGGCTTGCCTGCAACGTAGCCGCCTCTTCTCTGCAGACACCTTCTGTTTTCTTACCTATCACCTCGGACGTCGTACCCATCACCTCGTACGTCTTACCTATCACCTGTCAGTCGTCATCTGCAACCGTCAGCCTGCAGCCATGGCCTCCTCCTTCGCCCTGGTCCAGTCGTTTGCGCCGATCCTCCAAGAGCCGATCTGGCAGCAGCAGCGCGACCTGGAAGCCTCTTCTGTAGAGGGCAGAATTAAGCTCGCATATGCCCGAGCCCGGAGTCTCATCCAGACAGTCGGTAAGAACCATCACACATTCCTTTTTCTGATCGCCAAGAGATATTGACGGACATATGCAGGAATGACAATCGAGGATGTACGCTTGCTGAAGCCCAAGTTCTGGGACTTTCACCGTCATGGTCAGATCTGATCCCTCACTATCTAATATCACACTTCCTGGACAACGTGGCGCTCATCCTTTTACCAGCTTTTTCCATCGATTCCGGTGCTTGGACTATCCTGACCATCCACTGGAATCTCTGCATGGGCACAATCAGCCAGTATCTCCCTGAGCGGCCGGACCTACTGCCCTTGCTCCAGTCTCTGGAGCGGTTCGACACATGCGGCGAGTTCCTGCTCACCGAGCTGGGCCACGGTCTGGATGCGAGAAACCTCGAGACCACGGCCACTCGCCAGGCCGATGGCTCCTTTGTGCTCAACACCCCCAACGCCGCCTCAGCCAAGACCATGCCTCCCAGCTCGCCCTTCCTGGGCATGTCCCGCACAGCCATCGTCTTCGCCCGGCTCATCATAGACAACACAGACCGCGGCGTGCGCGGCTTCATCGTGCCCCTCAACGACTCAACCGGCGCCATGTGCCCCGGCGTCTCCAGCACCCTCTACCCCAAGCGCGCAGGCGCCAGGGCCATCGACCACTCCTCCACCAGCTTCCACAACGTGATCCTGCCCGCGGGCGCCCTGCTCGGGCCCACGGGCGACTCGTCCAAGGACGAGCGCAACAGCTTCCTGCGCGCCATCCACCGCGTCACCGTCGGCACGCTCTGCCTGTCCACGAGCAACGCCACCATCCTGCGCATCTCGGCCTGCGTCGCGGGCAGGTACAGCATCCAGCGGACCGTCGGCGCGCCCAAGCCCGTCTCCATCCTGTCCTTCAGCACGCAGCACGGCCCCATCGCACGGGCCCTCGCGCACGCCGCCGTCTTCGACAAGTACGCCGTCGAGTCGCGGCGGCTATTCATCGAGAACGTGAAGAAGCCCGAGATTCAGAATGTCATCGCCGGCACGTACAAGGCCACCATCATTGACTACACGCAGAGGATTCTGAGCGAGCTGGTTGACCGGTGTGGGTGGCAGGGTCTCTTCGCGCACAACCAGGTTCGTAGATCCCCCCCCCCCCCCCACTCTCTCCATTTCTTGAGATGAGATGAAATTAAACTAACACTGTCATTTATTAGATCTCGGAGTTATGGCTCGCCGAAAAGGGCAACAGCATCGCCGAGGGCGACTACGTGGTCCTCTGCATCCGACTCGCCAGTGAGATCCTCCTCGGGCGGTACGCGCCCCCCAAACCCCGTGATCCCAATTCCCTCCTAGCCCGCCATGAGGCCGGCGTCTGGGACGAAGCCCGCCAGACCGTCGCGGCCATCAAGGGCGGCCACCGCGGTAAGGACTTCAACGCCCGTATCCTGCCCCTCTCCCTGCCGCTGGTCAAGGCGACGGGCCAGCGCATGGCCTACGAGGCCGCCAGGGACGCCGTCGCGAGCGCTGACGACGGGAACGGCGCCCCCCTGACGCAGCAGGTCCTCGACCTGTACGAGTCGACGTGCCTGCTCGAGGACGAGAGCTGGTACGTGGAGAACGGCCTCCTGACCCGGCGGCAGCTGCGGGAGCGCCAGGTGGACGCGGTCAACGCCGTGCTGCCGCTGCTCGAGGGCATGATCAACGACCCGGCCGTCGACGCCTTCGTCAGCGCGCCCATGGTCGACCAGGGCAGGCTGGCGGCCTTCTTCGCCGCCCTGCCGACGTACAAGGGGCCCGACAGCGGGTTCGCGCCGCGGGCCAGGTTATGATTGAAGAGTAGAGTATGTAGACTTGCTTTTGCCGTGATTATTAGCGCAGATATCCAGATAGCTCGAGTGAATTTAGTAATGTCATACCCTGATAAGCTTAGAGTAATACCATGTTACCCTACACCACTAGGATTTGTACTTGTAAAACGGGGGAGTATCAGTTATGTGAAAACGTTGCACTCTACACATCCGGCACGGTTAAATTAGAGAAAAAACCAAAGATCCCATTATTAGGTTCGTCCCAAGATCTTTTGTTCGGAGGATACCTAAATAAGCTTACTTTGGGACTTTGGTCAAGATCTTGCAACCCCAACTTGAACACTGAGATTCTTACGAGAAAAAGTTGAAAATAATCAAAACAGCTTCTGCTTCAAGTATCGTAGTGACATTAGAATCCTGGAAAAACAGTATATGTCCACTTTACTCCACGATTTCCACGGGCCTTCCCTCGCGATCTCATGAAGGTGCAAGGACAGGTGCACAAGCATATTTCCCCATTAGGCAGTTTGCATGACTGCGAAATCTTCCAAACAGGTTTAGTTGCCGGCAAACAGCCAATCAGGCAGCAGAATCACCGTGATTCACGATGATGCAATTTCACGTGATGCCAAAGGGCACAGCTACGTAACTCGTATCTAACTTAGACGTGAAGCTGTATAAGAAGTGACTCGACCGACAGCTGAACTGCTCTCTTGATCCTATCAATTGTCATTCCTCTTCTCCTTCTGACTCTAACTCATTCCCCCTAAGCCCCGAGATAATCACACATACAAAATGGAAATGGACTTCTACGACATCGCCATGCGGGCCCCATCCGCCGAGCACTGCTGCTCAGTGAACCCGTGGAAGTCCCGCCTGGCTCTCAACTTCAAGAACATCCCCCACACCACCAAATGGGTTCCCCTCCCCGAGATCCCCAAGTTCCGCCGTGAGAAGCTCGGCATGGAACCCTGCCGCAAGCACGCCAACGGCTCCGACTTCTTCACCCTCCCTGTCCTGGTCGACCACGCCACGGGGGCCAAGGTGGGCGACTCGTTCGACATCGCCCTCTACCTGCAGAAGACGTACCCGGACTCGGGCGACGGGGACCTCTTCCCGCCCCAGAAGCTCGGCTTCTACTTCGACCCTGTCCTCCCGTCCTGGGCGCCGCCGCTGTCGGTGCGGAACGACAGAGAGCAGGAGGAGTACGCCAGCTTCAACACGCACGTCGACGCGGCATTCTCGACCTACGCGGGTCTCATGGGGTACACCATGCCCGTGGACTCGGAGGCCACCCGCGATGAGTTCGTCCGCCGCGCTGGGGCCAAGTCCTGGGACGACTTCGAGGTCAAGGGCGAGGCCCGCGAGCAGATGATCGAGGCTTTCAAGGTCACGCTGGGCGAGCTCGCCAAGGAGTTCACAAAGAACGCCGGCGGGCCGTTTATCCTGGGCGCGCGGGCTACGTATGCCGATATCATCGTTGGTGGGTGGCTGTACATGGCGAGCAGGACTCTTGTGGACAGCGAGTGGCAGCAGGTCAGGAGCTGGCACGGGGGCGTCTTTGGTGATTTGTTTGATGGGCTGAAGAAGTATGCCGAGGTGAAATAGACGGGATTCACACGATTATGGCAAAGGACCTCAAAAAGAGAGCTTGGAACGAAAATTTATCAGTGTATTGATTTATGATGCATGGGACTTGAGAAATTTGATCGAACGTGGACAAAATATGAATGAACGACGGAATGCCTCACAGAATCTAGAAGGAAAATTAAATTAGCGATAAAATTTGAATAAACAAATGAAGTCCTTTGGAATCTATTGGAATTGAGATACAACTGGAGTCATTGAGCCACTGATTGATTGTATGGAGTCTATCAAAACTACGACTCATGACATTGCCGCATTATCAAACAAGTGAATTTCTAGCACAACCATCATTGAACAACTGTATATAAGACATAATATGACTTTATTAAAGAACACAAAAATTGGTTGCAATCACGCCCAGCAGAGATTAATACCACCACTCGGCAGTTTTTAATGAAAACTATGTTCAAAAGACAGAAAAAATAAGATGAGCACATCATCCAATTCCAACAGGTTATAGGATTCACGATTACGTGGGGGAAACAATCCAAATAGTTCAGCAAAGATGAACAGCTGATTTTCCTAATGCTATATAGGTCGATGATATGTAGTTTTAAGCCCTTCCGAACCGCCAAGGCAGTCTTCGGGGAAAATATAGGTCAACATTAAGAGCCCGAAAGCCCATTCGAAGTCAAAGGACAAAGGAAATAAGGAGCGTGAGCCTCCCGAGCTGATTGCCTCCACTGATTAGTCTTCCTCGAAGATTTCGTGCTCCAACCCCTTGTTCGTTTGGCTCCTGATCCTCTGCCTGATCTTCAATCTTCGTCAAAACAGATTTCTGGGAGCACAATTCTCATTGCAGGCTTAGATTCCTACAGGATCAATGCAAAGGACGCTGGCCTCGAGCTACAGCGTGCTCCGTTAGCAGATGATGGTTTATAGAGGAGATTGGGCTTTTTATAGCTTACAGAAGTCGTAACAGCGCAACACTTAGGGCGTCTAGATGTGGCGCGGCAGCAGTCGGCGAATGCGCGGGGGCTGGCAGGGTTATTGTTGGGAGCTATCACGGGAATTAGCATATCTTTTGAGAATGCAACGAGGCAAGGAGGGAGGCATACGAGCCACGCAGCCGAGGCCAAGGAGACCGAGGGCATCGGTATCGCAGCACTGGGGGACCTTGAGGAGCTCGTTAGGGCAAGGCTTGTAGGGAGCAGATGGCTGGCCACCAGGCAGGGCCATGGCGGCGGCGGCGAAGAGAACGACGGTGGTGAAGAACTGCATTTTCGTGGAGGTGGTTGGTGGTTGGTGGTTGTCTTTTTGGAAAAGATGAGTTTGTTGTAGTGTTGGATTGATGATTGAGATTGAAGAGCTGAGTGATGAGGATGATGAGAAGAAGATAGCATTCTGGTGGGAAGAGAGGCGACTTATATAGATATTCCTCAAAGTCGTCCAGTCCACCGAAATGGAAAACCTTGCTTCCCTTCGCAGAAGTCGCAGTCGTATCTAGCTTGCCGAGATGCAAAGTCGGCTTCAAGGGAAAGATCCGCCCGCCCTACGCATCTCATCTCCCAGCCGCCAAGTCAGCCCCCAGTTGAGTCTCAGGATCCCATGATTAGTCACATCTTACTCGCAGCCACAGATTGTGATCCGCGCATCGCCAGATACTTCCCACGGCCAGCGCAGAAGCTTGATCCTCAGAGCTTATAGGCGTTGTGGCCCACTTGAAACAAGATCAGACCAACATGACAGGCCAGTCACTAGTCACATGCAGCTAGACATCTGATAGACGCGGGATAGAACTGACATTCTCACCGAAAAGGTACGATATTGCAGCCACATGATACGTGGACAGACGAGCCAAGCAAATAAGCGCCTCTCTGCCGTCTGGGCATTCAGACTGACAGCGAGGCTGGATATGCGGTGAAGCGCCGAAGCGCGGTTCCCTTCAGGGATTTCCGGAAAGCTGAAAATGCATGTGTCACAGCAGAGACTTGGGCTCACTACAGAGAGACAGACAACCCTTATGGGAGCATGCTAAGACCTGGGAGGCCCAGAACTCTTCCGCCTCGGTTTCAGTGTCGAGACCCTATTCTGCTTGTCAGGTCTTTCCTATGCTCTCCTGGCCATCGTGCTTGATAAAGTTCTGAACATTTTGGTGAAACACCAGAGGGATGGTCTTCTCAACACGTGTATCAAGTAAAATTGATGCCTAAATGCGAGAGCCGGGTGGGCCCGTGATGCTTCGCCCCTTATGATTCAGATCCAAATCAATATTTCTGACTACAATAGCCATGTTCCGTGTTTGCTGTTCCAGCCACAATGAGCTGAAATTGTTGCCAAGGCGCCAAGGAAGCCCGACCGGTCATTGCTGCAGGTAATGATGGCATCGTGAGTGTTCCTAGGCGAGGAGAAGCTGTTCTCCCACAATGACTAACGAGGGCAGGTCAACTGCGCTGGTCAAGGGCGTAACTTCTCCAATTGGCATCCCTAATTGCCAGAATTGAACTGTCTTCTTCGGAAATTTTCCAATGGTGGAGGATTCGAAAACGGCGGGCGCAAAGGCGGATGCAAGGGCGGCCTAGCTCCGACGGCCAGACTTCCAATCGGTGGTCATGGCGAAAGACAGTAATCTCAGACATGGTTAGTGCATATGTATGTCTATCCTCAGCTTCTCGACAGGCAGCAGTTATTGACAGCCAATTATTATGTAGACTGGTCTATGCAGCTCAGGCTGCTGATCCCAAACTGAAGCCTATGTAAGGTCAGAGGCTGGGCTTGTCTTGGTCGGTTCTAATTCTGCTGCCTAAGAAAAGGGACTAGTCGGGGCGCGATCGGATTTCCTTGAAAATGTTCAGTTGGTGGAAATAACATTTTGGTTTCGCTAGGTAAGGTAGCCAATCGAGGGTTGAAAGCTGTCAATGCCCCAAAAATCAATAGAAACAGAAAAATTTGTACAGAACGCCGTATCTCATCATCCAGTCATGGTCATGCATATCCTTTCCCGCTAAATTTTGCCCAGGTACCAAAAAAAATCAAAGTTGGGGATCACAGCTTGGAGAAGACACCGCTGCATGCGCCCTTGCCCAATTGCACAAGGGTGCTCTTGGTTCTCATGTAAGCCCGGATGCCCTCGATGCCGTTCTCCAACCCCAAACCACTCATCTTCCAGCCGCCGACGGGCATCTCAGCTGGAGATTCGCCCCATGTGTTGATCCAGGTAATGCCGGCGTCAAGCTGGCGGATCACATCGTGGGCCAAACCCACATCAGACGACGCAACACCAGCAGCCAACCCCATCGGTGTGTTGTTGGCTCGGCGAATCAGCTCTGGCAGCCACTCACCCTGCTGCTTGTTGGCGGTGGTGTACGGCAGAATGCACATGACGGGGCCGAATATCTCCTCGCTCGCGACGCGCATTTCGTCAGTGCAGTCCGAGAAGATGACGGGGGGAACCCAATAGCCTTCGGCAGTGGGACTCTGGCTTTGGGCATCCTGGGCTCCATCGTAGAGCACGCGAGCTTTGTCCACCTCTTTTCCATGTCGGATGTACATCCTGACCTTTTCTTGATGGACCTTGCTGACGACGGGCCCGAAATTCGTCTTCTCGTCGCGGGGTAGTCCCATACGAATGCCCTCGCGGCAACGCTTGATCAGAGCCTGCTCAATTTTGGCTTGCAGGACGTCAGGAACAAATACCCGAGTTCCATTTGTGCACACCTGGCCGGTGGAGAAGAAATTTGCCATCATTGCGATGTCGGCAGCCTCGTCGACATCAGCGTCAGGCAGGATGAGGAGCGGGCTCTTGCCTCCCAGCTCCATTGTGATGCCCTTCATGTCCTTGGCTGCCTGGCTGGCGACCTTACTACCGGTGCTAACCTGGCCGGTGAAGCTGACCTTGGCAATGCCAGGGTGCGCCACCAGAGGCGCGCCAGCGCTCAGGCCGTCACCGTAGACAACATTAAAAACACCTGGAGGCACGCCAGCCTCGATATAAATTTGTGCCAGAGCGTTGGCGTGCAGCGGCGTGACCTCGCTAGGCTTGTAGACCATGCAGTTTCCTGCTGCCAGGCAGGGAGCGGACTTCCAGAGAGCAATCTGGATGGGGTAGTTCCAGGCACCGATACCAGCGCAGACACCAAGCGGCTCGTGGCTGGTGAGGACAAAAGCATCGGGCCTTAGGCGAGTATTCTCTCCTGGGCTACCGCCAGCAATCATGTGAGCATAGTACTCCAAGACGTCAACGCCGGTGACAACATCGACAGTTGTGGTCTCGCTCCAAGCCTTGCCAGTGTCGAGGGTCTCGGTCAGCGCCAGGGCATCATTTCGCTCGCGAAGGATAGAAGCGGCCTTGAGGAGAATGGCAGATCGTTTGGTAGCCGGGGTCTGGGACCAGATAGGGAACGCAGCCTGAGCCGAGGCCACGGCCGCATCGAGCTGCGCTGGAGTGGTTGTGTAGATGGTCGCGAGCGGCTTCGAGGTGCTGGGGTCCAGAGAGACGAACGTCGAGGATGAGGAACCCTCAGGTTGAGCTTTTCCTGAGTGAAAGGTATGGATCTCGGGGGTGAAAGTCATGGTGGCGAAGAAGCGTCTCGTCCGAGACAGCAAGGCGTAGCTACGCTGTTTGAGAGGGGAAGCCAGGGGGAGAGATGAGAAGATGAGGTTTCTGCGAGAGGAAAGAGAGAACAGTATGGCGCCGATGCTCAATGGCAATGTTGCGGAATCCGACAAATTGACCGGTCGCCAGAATAAAAGGATGGATGAATTGACAAGCTGTGTCGCTTGGTCTAACGCAGGGACGTGGAGAGCTGCGATAAGTGGTGGGGTAGCAGCAGAGCGGCATGAAGCTACGGGGGTGATTGTTCCAGAAAAGGCTGCTAAAGAGCAACCCGTGAGAGAATTTTCTGAGGCCAATTGGGGCAACGATTGGAACGTCGCTTATGACAGGGCTGGTCGGAGGCGGCGCTTGTGATTTGATGCTCAAGACGAATGCTCAAGAAGCGACAATCCGGGCGTAGCGCCTGCCGAGACTCGTTCTCGTGGTGGTGTACATACGTCATTTGCGGGCGCCGGGCAGGAGCAGCCAGCAGGGGAGCCTCCGCTGGCGGGAAAAATGGGACGCCGTGCGAGAGAGTTCGCACTGTATTGCCCTCTAATACCCGTTTGCGGTTTAGCCCGCCGCCACCACCCAGAGGCAGAAACCGTGGCAGCACATCGGTGTGCATTAACCACTAGTCGGGGCTGGCTGCTCGCCCAATGCTTGCTTTTTCCTCCCCTCCAACCGTCTCAGGTCGGTAAGCACCAAGAGGCGGACGTACATATATCAGCGCAGCAATGGGGGGCATGGGCCGGCAAGGCAAGAGGGATTGCAGATGCATGTCGGAACTAGCGCACCTCCCTGGATAAGTAGCCTCCCTGAGAGAAAAGAGCACAGCACAGAGAAGATGCTGTCATTGCCCTGAAATTCGCCTTGGCAAGTGCAAGGCAAAGGTCTGCAGCGCCGTGCTCCCATTGGTCAAGACGTCGCCGGATCCCCGCAAATCTAGCAACACAGTGCGCTCCAGATCGCAGTTCGCGGCAACGGCCAGGGCTCATCCAGATTTCGCAGAGATCAATCAACCGCACATCGATCCTCAGCACGCGTTGCCCCTTGACAATCCCTGGGATTTGGCTGCTAGACCCCTCAAAACCCCACCATCGTCAATGGGCAACCCCACTGCTGGGCTGCTTGTTGGGTGGGAACGGACGCAGAAGAGGGTCGCCGTCTGCAAGGCTTCTCAGCCTCTGCCATCCCTCCCCAAGCCAAACCTCGACCGACCGGGCCGCCCATTGACACAGCTTTCACCAGAAAAACGCTAGGCAAAGCCGAGTCGCATAAGCTACACAGTGCCAGTCCACCATGGGCCGGTCGTCTCTGGTGTCGTCTCCACAGATGGGGCCGGGACAAGAGTCAAGGGCCCAAAACACCAGCCATTGACATCGGAATGGATGGGGGAATGACACGGTGACAACCAATGACGAAGCTCGCTTTTTTTTTCTATCTGGCCCTTTCCCTTGGGCCCCATCCTCGGACAGCATCATTTCGTCTGCTCCGCCGCTGGATCACGGCCCCGGCATCGCCTCTGCCGCCCTACGCAACCGTTTATTCACACCAAAGCCCACGGCATGCGCCGCCAAATCTTATCCGTCAAGTTTTTTGGACGCATTCTTATCAGCTCCACTTGGTCAGTGTGCCATCCTATTTGTCGGCAAGGGCTGTCCGGGCTTGCATCCTCGACAACTTCATGTACATTAACCCCGTCTTCTCTCTCTTCTGCATCATTGCCTGTCTCGTGTGACTTGTACACCAGAGATTGCTGCCGACCTTCCTAGTTGAGCGATCCCAAGGAGAGTCGTTATCTCGTCGTCGTTCCTATTTGTATAGCTCTTGCTCCCAATCCCCTTTGGTGATTGCTTCCCATCTCTCCTCATCGCCTCATTCCTCTCCCACCTCATCCCTCCTCCCCCTCATCTCATACACACCTCGTCTCTTCCCTCGTGCTCGTCCTGTGCAACATCATCCCCATCCTTGAACTTTCTTCGTGACAATGGCTGCGACTCAGACTCTCCCTGCTTCGGCCGCCGAGGCCTACGACTACATCGTCGTCGGTGGTGGCACTGCTGGTTGCGTCCTTGCTTCACGACTCTCCAGCTACCTCCCCGAGCGCAAGATCCTCATCATCGAGGGTGGCCCATCCGACCTCGACCTCAGCAACGTCCTCGACCTCCGCCAGTGGCTGTCCCTGCTCGGTGGTGAGCTGGACTACGACTACGGCACCACTGAGCAGTACAATGGCAATAGCCACATCCGTCACTCGCGCGCCAAGGTCCTCGGTGGCTGCTCCTCCCACAACACCCTCATCTCCTTCCGTCCTTTCCGCCATGACATGGACCGTTGGGTCTCCAAGGGCTGCAAGGGCTGGAACTTTGAGAACATTGTCCGCCATGTTGACAACCTCCGCAACACCATCCAGCCCGTCCACGCCCGCCACCGCAACCAGCTCTGCAAGGACTGGGTCCTGTCTGCTTCCGAGGCCCTGGGCATCCCCGTCATCCCCGACTTCAATGCTGAGATCCGTGAGACTGGCCAGCTGAACCAGGGTGTTGGCTTCTTCTCCGTCTCCTACAACCCCGACAACGGCCAGCGCAGCAGTGCTTCCGTTGCCTACATCCACCCCATCCTCAAGGGCGAGGAGCGCCGCCCGAACCTGACTGTCCTCACTGAGGCCTGGGTCTCCAAGCTCCACGTCCAAAACGACGTCGCCTCTGGAATTGACGTCACCCTCAAGAATGGCCAGAAGCTCACTCTCAAGGCCCGCAAGGAGGTCATCCTGAGCGCCGGCGCCGTTGATACTCCCCGCCTCCTTCTCCACTCCGGAATCGGTCCCCGCGACCAGCTCGAGTCTCTCGGCATCAAGGTCGTCAAGGATGTGCCTGGTGTCGGTGAGAACCTTCTCGACCACCCCGAGACCATCATCATGTGGGAGCTCAACAAGCCCGTGCCCGAGAACCAGACTACCATGGACTCTGACGGTGGTGTCTTCCTCCGTCGTGAGGCCTTCAATGCCGCTGGCAACGACGGCGATGCAGCTGACATCATGATGCACTGCTACCAGATTCCCTTCACCCTCAACACGGGCCGTCTGGGCTACCCCGAGGTCGCCGAACGCTATGCCTTCTGCATGACTCCCAACATTCCTCGACCTCGCTCTCGTGGCCGCATCTACCTTACCTCTTCTGACCCCAACGTGAAGCCCGCTCTTGACTTCCGCTACTTCACCGACCCCGAGGGTTACGATGCGGCCACCTTTGTCGCTGGCATCAAGGCTGCCCGCAAGATCGCCGAGCAGGCTCCCTTCAAGGACTGGCTCAAGAAGGAGGTCGCCCCCGGTCTCGGCGTGCAGTCGGACGAGGACATCAGCGAGTACGCCCGCCGCGTCGCTCACACTGTCTACCACCCTGCCGGTACTACCAAGATGGGTGACCTAAAGCGCGACGGCTACGCCGTTGTGGACCACGAGCTCAAGGTTCGCGGCATTGGAAAGCTGCGCATTGCTGACGCCGGTGTCTTCCCTGACATGCCTTCCATCAACCCTATGGTGACTGTTCTTGCTATCGGTGAACGTGCTGCTGAGCTGATCGCCATGGAGGAGGGCTGGAAGCCCGACAACAACAAGCCCAGACTGTAAAAAAGTCATCGCCATTCCGCTGCTGCGACATGAAGAATGTGTATATTGTTGTTGAATTTTGCATAATTTCCTTTGTTTGGCCAATTCATTGAGACGACAAAAATGCTAGGCGTATGAGCTAACGATGTTATGGGACTACATCACCTTTTTTTTTTTTTTTATTCAACCGGGGACTCCCCATGCTTTCCGTAGGGAAAGATGACTTGAAGCGAACCAATTTTGAATATGACATCTTATTTTTGGATATCCAATGGAGGCATTCTGCTCCAACCGCGTGCTTTGCGATTATTGACGTGAGATTCCTTACCTTTTAATTCGGCCGTGTGGTGATTCTGAGTATGACCTACCCTATGGCTGGACTTCGCAACGTCTGACCAAAGCAGAACAACCATCAGTGATGGTGATGGGTAAGCACCTCCCCACCTTCAAAAAGGAGCCTCTGGCCCCGTATCCTCAATTGAAAGTGGCGGTATCCTTTCCAATCGAATCCCTCGCTTGTGATCGACTGGCTGCATATCTATTAACCCGAGCGAGGCGGTAGAAATCCCCAACGCGGCGTGATGACTGGTCGGATGAATAGGTGGCACAGGAGGAAGAAGAAAATCAGTCGAGGTTGCATCTCAGCTCATTAAGCTTGCCAAGAGATTTTCATAAAACCCACTAGGGCAAGCCGACAACCAAAGAGATGGGCTGGACACGCAGATTTGCGCACAACACAATTTCCCTGGGAGCAGTTGCCGACGAGTCGAAACTGCCAGTGCCGGATCAGGCGCAAAAGAAGGGACGCGGCTCCCAGGGCTAGGAGACGACGGCTCTGGCGCCAGGAGGACTGGGCTGGATGGCCCGTGGCGCGGTGTCATGCGCGCACGTTTACTTCTGGCCGTGGAGAGTCTCTGGCCGAACCTCAAGCGTTTGCTCCAGTTGGGAGATTAGCGCCGGCACTTCGGGGCGGAGGGAGTGGACCCAAAGCACCACAAGAGACGGAGTTGAGGCCCGTGAAACCTCTCGACCCCTGACCGTCTTGGCTCGCCGGCGCCTTCACCATCCACGCCGCGGCCTGCACCTGATGCACGCACACATGCTCGCGGCTGCTTGTCCTCGTTTGATCTTCAGGATGTCGAAAGCGTCGTTCCTGTGCCTTGGCGGGCAGGGATGCGCGAGGGCTGAGTCTCAGATCCACATGACGCCCTCTGATATGGTGCCTCTGCTCGTCTTCTGGCCACTCGTATTTTACCATCCACCTACCTGCTGGACAGCATCATGACTCTCTCTCCTAGAGTGAGGACCCCTGCACGCTGCCCAGGTGGAGCCAATAGTGACGGAACCATGGGCCATTCTTCCCTCTTCCCGATTCTGTCGACGCTCCCCCTACGTTTTGCCGAGACGGTCCGCTGAACCTGTCTTATGAAGGCCCCCACTGCCCGGGCCGAACTCTTATCAGCGCCTTTGCCTCTCCCCCAAACAAGGGAAAGGCACGCGGAGTAGTTCAAGAGAGTAGGGTCTTGCGTGCTTTGGCCAGTGCTTTTGCTCACGGTTTTCCCAGACTTCGGTCCAGAGCACAGATCGGGCCGCCCGGGGCGGTGGGGAGCAGTAAAATATGGCTGTCTGGTAGCGTTTTCCACGGTTTGAATGTGGTCCCGGAAGGACATCTGTGCTCACTCTGATCAGCCCTCACTACTACTGCTTTCTGTTTTTTGCCATCTCTGATTTTTCCCTCTCTCTTATCTCTGTTTCATTGTTGTTTCTCCCGACGGATCATGAGATGGGACCGCCAGACTGAGCCGAACCCTGTTAAGAAGCCTGCACACGGTTCTTTTCTTTCGGCACTTCCTTCCTCTTGCTGCATGTTCTCTGAGGTTTAAGAATACGGACACTTGCTGCTCTTATTTGTCATTCATCCCAAGTGACCACACGTGTATGTTACGTGCCGTGCCAATTTTTTTTTCTACTTTCCTCCTCTCTCCTTTGTGGCCAGAAATACCTTTCTCTACTACAAAGACTGGTCGCCTCTCATACAGGTTGCCATTAATATCTGTCCATTATTTTAGAGGGAAGCTTCTAAAGGCATCTGGTATAAACCGTACCCATGGTTCGGGCAATTGAGCCGCCAAAGATTTACTTCCTTTATTTCGCCCAACATTACCAACAGGTCCTAACGCTGGGTTGAAGCAACCCCCCACCAGCCAATAGGGAGACGGTTCAACCATCCATCCATAACCTCCCATCGTTCATGTTCACCTCTCTAGACTCATGGCGGTATTATCATCAACATCATCACCAGGCGACGGCGACGGTGGCTTCGAGGAGGAACTAACACGGGAGCTCTCGAGCGAGGTCGCCACCAGGGCCACGGCATCGCCAACGCTGCTGGACCGCGTCCGGGGCATGACGAGCGGGCTGGACGGCTTGTTGTCGACATCTCCTCGCTTCCGATCAACTTCGACGCCTCCCGTGATCGCGCCGCCGACGCCAGAGCAGCGCCCCAAGTCGGCGCACGGGTACAGGAGCAAGGAGGAGGAAGGGCGACGGTACTCGCACAGGCTGCTGGAGCGGGTGAACCAGAGGATCAGCGGCGGGCGCAACAACAGCGACGCGAGCAGCAGCAGCAGCGGCGGCGGCGACATGGCGACACCCGAGGGCAGGGCGGCGTCGCAGTCGCAGTCGCAGTCGCAGGCACCATCATCATCATCGCACATCCTGAAGGGGGCGGGAGGGCGGCTGACGCAGGGGGGTCGCATCACCAAGAACCGCCACAGCCAGCGCGTGCCAGCAGCATCCGCGGGCAGGAAAACGACGGCCCTCGACAGCGGCTCCAGCCGTGGTGGTGGTGGCCTCGGTGGCACCACTACGACCGCTACGGGCAGCGGCGACAGCGCTAACGTCGACACCATGATGGGGGGCATGGACGTGGCTACGGGGGACGACACCACTAGCTCGACCGCTGCGAGGGCCGCCGCAACCCCAGAACTCGCTCCCGCGGCTGTCCTTGACCCCGCCTCATTTCCCTGCATTTCCTCCGCATCCACATCCACATCCACCTCCACCAGCTCGCCCTCGCTCGCCCTCGACAACTCCTCCTCCTCCCTGGGGGCGTCGTCCACCTCGCTGCCCCCTCAACTCGCCTCCCCCGGCCCCGACTCCTCCGCCAACCGCCCCGACTACACCTCCCGCTCCGCCTCGTCGTCCTCGTCGCTGGCTGCCTCGTCCTACTCCGAGGCCAGCTCCCGGCCCGTCGTCTCCTCCACCGTGTCCGCCACCTCCATCCCTCAGTACGACTACCAGGATCTGCCGTCCAGCGCCAGCTCCTCCAAGCCGAGCCTCCACGGCCACAGCCAGAGCCTTGGAAGCACCACAGCCGCCGGCGCCGCCATGGCCCTCGACGACGACCCCGTCCTGACCTTCTGGGGACCCGACCCGGTGCCCCTTCCCACTCGATTCGCCCGCATAAAGCAGCACCTGATAGCCGGCCACGAAGCCGCCATCGAGGCATCGTGGGCGCGCCTGATCTACGCCCTGCGCGCCGAGGTCGAGCACATCGAAGGGCTCGGCGCCCACCTCATCCCCTCGATCGAGTTCTCCGACATACACAACCCGGCGCAGACGACCCGCTTCGGCCACGATCTGCGCCGCTATGGCGTTGGCGTCGTCAGGCGCGCCGTCCCGAAGCCGGATGCCGATGACATGGTCAACAGCACGCTGCGCTACCTCGAGAACCGCGGCGGCAAGCATGACCTCAAGCCCGTCGAGCAGGATCCCACTTGCTTCGACTTCTTCTGGACCCCCGCCCAGATCCGCGCACGTGCTCACCCGGCCGTCCTGAGCGCCCAGCGGTTCATGATGGGCCTGTGGGAGACGAGTCCGAATGTGAACCTCGTCACTAGGCTACCCATCGCATACGCTGATCGTCTGCGCATACACGGGACGGCCGGCGAGCAGATTCTGTTGCGCGACAGCAACCGGAATGGCGAGCCGGAGAAGCAGACACTCGAGATCCCCCTTGCCACGTCAATGGAGCAGGCGCCCCAATCAGCCGACGATTGGGTCATTGCGCTCCAGTCGTCGGCCGGCATCATCGCCCAGGTCGACAATGGCTCTCTGGAACGATGGGAGCCCGACGGATATGGCCGGACTGGCACGTACAGTCGGGTCTTCCGTGGTGAGTGGGAATCGTACGATCCCTGGGAGTGCGCCAGTCGCGTGTCCTCCACCATCGACCTCTACAACGGGTACGGCTCCTGTACCATCTTTCGCATGTTCCAGGCCGTCGTCGCCCTGTCCACCATCGAGCCGGGCATGATCCGCCTGCTGCCCTCCCCCAAGCTCGCCACTGCCTACTTTCTCCTCCGACCCTTCTTCTCCGCCAAGACCCCCATGCCCGAGGTCCGCACGGGACCCGACTGGGACGCCTACCTCGACCCTTCCAACTGGAAGCTCGACCGCAGCCCAGACACCATCATTCACGGCGCCGTCCCCGGCCACGCCCAGCGCATCACCGAGCGCTGGCACCCCCATCTCCACCTCCGAAGCAGCATGATCACCCTCCCCACCCTCCAGCCGGGCGACTACATCTTCTGGCACCCGGATCTGGCGTACCACATCTCCAGCCACGCCAACCACGGTCTCCGCACGCCCGTCCACGGCCCCGACGACGTCCGCATGCTCGTCTACGTGCCCGCCGCGCCCCTGACCCAGACCAACGCCCTCTACCTCGCCCGCCAGCGCAAGGCATTCCAGCGCGGCCACCCCGGTCCCGACTTCGACTCGAACGGCCGCGGCTTCAACATCGAGGACCCGGCCACAAAACCCGGCGAGAAGGACATCGAGGAGGTCGGCGGCGCGGCGGGCCTGCAGGCCATGGGGCTCGCGCCGTGGGACGCCTCGTCGCGGGACGGGACCCAGGTGAACGGGGACAAAGGCGTCCCCAGGGGCGAGGCGGAGATTGTGGAGCTGTCAAACGACATCCTCTTCCCCGACCGCCCCATGCCGGGTTTATAGATCGG